TTTTTTTATGATAAACAAAATAATTATACCCATTAGAAATGCACTTGCCTTGGATGTTTTAGAGACACACCTTTGAATTCTCTTTCTTGAGTCAGGATTTAGTCTGTTTTGCAAAACTAAAGTCAAGCCAGGCGTGGTGGCTCAGGCCTGTAATCCCAGCACTGGGGAGGCTGAGGCAGGAGGATCACTGTGAGTTCAAGGCAGCCTGAGCTTCATAATGAGTTCAAGGTCAGCTGAACTACATAGTGAGACCCTGTCTCAAAAAAAGCTAAAGGCACAACCAAATTTTTAAAGCAAGAGTGAAAATTCTATTTTAAATACTTGTACAGAGTGATTGAAATTGCTTTTAAAAACTGCTCCTTGTCTCAGATACAAAAAGACTATGTAAAAACACAGTGTAATAAAAAATCCTGCTCAGTAAGCTTTCTTAGTGAAAATGTCCGTGTTCTCTGCTGTATCAGGGGGAAATAAAAAGCAAAGCCCTTAAGGAGCCCCCCGCGTGGACGCAGCCTTAGAGCCATCTCCCTCATCTGTTTTCCACTTTGAAGCATTGGGAACCCACCCAGGGAGCCAGCAGAGTGCTGCTGCTGCAGGTGTGCGGGGTTGAGTCACCAGGAGAGCCTGCTCGCTGTGGACAGCAGACTGTGCTGTCTCCAGGGGCCTCAGGTGGCCCCTCGGCGCCTGTGCAATGGTCCGGTGGGCTGTGCTGTGGAGATCGTTTCACCAAACTTGCACTTCTGCCAGAAACGGTTCCTCTTGAACATAGTATCTAAATCCCTGAGTATTCTTGAATTAAGAATCTTTAGTCCATCCTTTTATGTCCTTCTACAAATGCCTACAATTACTAGAAAACTTTGCCATTATTAGAATAACATAATTAAATTAAGCTTATTTATTAAATTTTCTCAGCATGGCATTTTTCCTTGAGTTCTTGAGGGAGGAGGGCAAAAAGGAAAGAAGGGACAACAAGAAAAAGAACGAAAAAAGAGAGAAAGGAGTAGTCCTTGTCACTGAAGTAGAGTTACAATGGGATCCTTGATACATTTCCAAAGCTAAGGTTGTAGACTTATTTTCTAGTGAAATACCATGACATTTTACTGTAAATTTGATTCTCTTTTTCTAATAAATCAATGTTTTAAATTTCAGTTTGTTGTAAATTGTGAATTCTTTAAAAGAGAGACTAGATCAATTCAACTTCCTGTAACTCACCTTTTTTCCTTTGGTAAGTACTTTGTTTGGGGGAATTTTTTTTTCCAGTACTGGGGTTTGAACCCAGGGCACTCTACACTGAGCCACATCCCCAGCGTTTTTGTTACCTCATTTTGAGACAGGCTCTCGCTAAGTTGCTCAGGCTAGCCTTAAACTTGATCCTCCTGCCTCAGCCTCCCTAGTAGCTGAGCTCACAGGAATGTGCTGCTTAAGAGTCAGTTCTATTTTTAAAGGGGTGCTGCTTGTTTTTTGCCAGTGAGTTGCAATAAGGCAGAGCCTTGGCACACTGTGCTGAGCCTACGACATAGTGAGTATGGTTTTCGGGCGACCTTATGGTGTGGCTTAGTGCTTTGATTCCCAGGTAATACTGGGCCAGAGTCATCTCAGAAGTGAATTTTAAAGGGTTATTTTCCATGATCACATACATTTGAAGGTGATCAAGTGTGCTATATGAAATTTATACTGAATGCTGGCACTTCTCATGAACTTTTTCTTACAGGTTAGAAAGCACTACCTTCCCTATGAAATTTCACAATTTAAATATTATTCTAAAGCTTTATTTTACAATAATTACAGAAAAGTTAGAGGAGAGTACAGAGTTCCTTCACCACATTCCCTGTTGCCGACCTCTTACACAGATAACCCCGGTGTGGCCCACAGCGCCCGCACTGATGTGACGCCACCGAGGAGCCTGCGCTCTGGTTTGTTTTCCCTCGGTTACTGCACACGCATCTTCCCTCCCACCTCCCACCCACAATGGCCGTCACATCTCCCCTGTCTCAGGTGGTACATGACCTTGCACAGTCTTTCCGTGCTTAGAACCTTGAACTCTTTTATTTTGAAGGACGTTCCTCCCTTTGGCTTGGTCTGTTTCCTTATGATTAGATTGAAGTTAGACATTTTGCACGAATGCCACAGAGGGATGTGCATTCTCAGGTGTGTCTCAGCACCAGTGCTATGCTTGTAACTGCTGACAGTGCTCACCTTCACCTCCTGGGTAAGGTGGTGCCTGCCGGCGTTCACACAGGAAAGCTACTACTTCTTCTTTTGTATTTAATAAATACCTTAGGGGAAATACTTTGAGAGTGTGTAAATAGTATTTTTCATCAAAACAACTCATTAGTTTTAGCATTCATTGGATCAACTAGTCTTTAGCAAATACTATCCTTTTATTCCACATGATTGAAATTTTTCCTGAGATACGTACTTATCACTTCTCTCACATTTATGTACTTATTCAGTTTCTTTTTGAGACAGGGTCTTGCTACATAGCCCACCATGGCCTTGAATGCACTACGTAGCCCAGGCTGGCCTTGAACTGCAGGCTAACCTCCTGCCTTAGCCTCCTGAGTTCTGGGATTACAGGTGTGCACCACCACGCCTGGTTATTCAATTTTTATGTTAGTTTGGATTCATGAATATTTGTTTACTGGGCTATGATCCAATACTGTCATTTATTCTTCTGCTTAAGTTGTTCCAGCTTTGGGTATGAGGTGGTATTTTAGTTAGGCTTCTGTGTCCATCTGGTATGCCTCATCTTCACATAAAAATACATATATTTTACACACACACACACACACACACACGCACACACACACACACTATTCATGGAAAGAATCTCTGTTGTAAGAAACTTCCTATAAGGTTCTTAGCTCACACACACACTTTTTTTAGTACAAAAATACATACATTACAGAAATGACAATTCTAAATCACTATCATTAAAGAGAGCACATTTATAATAAGAGCTATTACAGAAAGTGTATCATTCTAAAATTAGAACTAAGTACTTGTTAAAAACACATGGCTGTAATTTAAAGTCATTACAAAGTCTCTGTTTTGTTCAAGCTTGACTGCAGGAAGAATGCATTTTTAAGAGTTGTTGACTCCTCCATACCAGAAGTAAAAAATCTGTAAACTGTCTTTTAATATCAGAACTGATGGCACTGTTTTAACATTGTTTAAGCAAATATGTTAACAACTCTGAAATTCTAAGTAACACAGTACTTCTAATTCAACAGGATTGACCTCAAGGAAAGTGCTATTGAATGCAAGTGGCCTGTACTACAATATAGAGCTCCTGAACTTTGGGCAGGTAATTATCCAGACTGCCCCTGGAAAGATATGATTTCATATTATTTTTTACTTAAACAAATAAATAAGCTTGTTTTGTTTTGTTTTTCTGGTCAAATTCTATTAGATATACCAAGCTTTTAAACTCAACGTGGTAAGCAAGTGCTCAAGAACCAAAGGTAAATGTATCTTCTGAAAATTAAAAACTATGTTCACATTTCATTCTAAATATTCACATCTAAAAAATACTGTATATAGGGGCCAGAGAATTAGCTCAGTGGTGCCACTGTCTGGCTCACAAGGGCAAGGTTGCCAGGTGTGGTAGCGCGCACCTGTAATCCCAGCGCTTGGGAGGCTGAGGCAGGAGGATCGCTGTGAGTTCAAGACCAGCCTGGGCTACATAGTGAGTTCCAGGTCAGTCTCAAC